CAGGGCTCGGGCAGGAGCCCCGACCCCGTTTTTTCCAAATAGTCATTAAAAATAAAGAGGTTTGGCACGAAACCCTCTTGTTGTCTCAGTTCAGACTGAGAACAAGCCTTATTGCTGCATCACTCTGTGCTGGGTGCAGTTCTGCCCCACTGAAGTGGCTCTTTGGGAAGCTCTGGGACAGGGCAGCATGGGGCTGATGCTGGGGCTCTCCACAAGCTCAACCTGCAAATGCCTGTGTGGTTTCCAGAGAGTTTTCCAGGAGCAGTGTCCCAAATGAGGCTCAACAGGGCGAGAGAAGGAGCTTCTGTTGCCCACCCTCTCTCTCCGCCCTGCACTGTCCTGCTGCAGTTTGCTGCCACCCGGGTTGTGCTGCGCAGACACTGGGTTGAGCCCGTTCTGGCCATTTGCTGTGTGGGGTGTGTGGAAGCAGAGGGCGGCTGAGCTGGTGACACCGGCTGGATGTGCCAGAGCTTTCCCGAGGAAGTGGAGTGTGGGTTTGGTGCACAACTGCTGAGGAGGGGGAAAAGGGAGACTGCAGAGCCCACCATAGCTGCTGCGGAGGGACTTGTCACTGCCCTCCCCAAAACTGAGTTCAAAGCTGTGGGGTAATGGGTTAAAACTAAAACAGGGTAGATTCAGGTTAGATGTGAGGCAGAAGCTCTTCCCTGTGAGGGTGCTGAGGCGCTGGCACAGGGTGCCCAGAGGAGCTGTGGCTGCCCCATCCCTGGCAGTGTTCAAGGCCAGGTTGGACACAGGGGCTTGGAGCAACGTGCTCTAGTGGAAGGTGTCCCTGCCCGTGGCAGGGGGCTGGAGCTGGAGGAGCTTTAAGGTCCCTTCAACCAGTCTCTGATTCTAACCCAAACCAGGCCGGGATTCTGGGATTTGGCACGAACAGCCCACAGGGTCACCACTCAGTTTTCCATGTTAGTAACGCCGCTCCACAGAGAACCAGCTCAGCACGGCCGTGGGATGACGGGGCAGGACACGCTCATGCTCACAGCCGGGGGAGCCGGACCCCCCAGCCAGGCCCCATTCCCAGCCCCAAGAAGGATCGTACCGGATTGTGAGCTGGTCCTGGCTCAGCTGCTTGAACCGCCGGTGCAGGTGCTCGATCTGCTCAGAGGTGACTGTGGGGAGAAAAGAGAGAGGTGATGGGGGGGTGTGAGCACCCTGGGCACAGGGCAGCACCCGGGGACCTATGTCCTGCCCAGGACACGAGGAGACTTGGTGGGCACCAAAACCTGCTGTAAAGCTTGTGCCCTGGGACACCACCAAAGTCCACCAGCAATAGACAAAAGGCTCTTGCACCCCCCTGCCCCTTGGCAGCAGGGCAGGGCCTTGGGCACCTCTTGGCACAGACGTCCCTGTCCCTGTTTCCCTTTGGTGGATCTATGCAGCCCTACAGGGGTTTGAACAACCTGCTCTAGTGGAGGGTGTTCCGAGATGTAGGTTGGATTTAGGTGACCCTGCCCGTGGCAGGGGTTGGAACTGGAGGGGCTTTAAGGTTCCTTCAATCCAAACCAGGCTGGGATTCTGTGATCCTATGAAACTCCCCAGGGGCTGCAGAGCACAGCATGGCAGGATCCCACCCCCCTGTTTAGGGTCTTCAGTATCAGACCCTTCAAACAAATAATACTAATAAAAAGAGCACCCCAAAGCTGACAGCAGCCAGGGAAAAGGTTGGACATAGAGGAGGTGGTTTGGGAAAGCCCACCTTTGAAATAGCCCCTACTGCTGCTCAGACAGAGCTGGAACATGGCGAAGCCACAAACCATCGAGGTGGGTGCTGCCCCAGCCCCTGGGCAGGGCAGCTGCACCCCCAGAGCATCACTCTGGGGTGGGGGCTGAAATTGGGGTGCCAGCAGCCTTCCTTGGAGACCCCCAGCACTGAGGTTACAGCGTAAGGCTCGGCAGCATCTTTTCACTTCCTCAATCCTGTGACACAGGATATGTTATTTGTTCCCAGCTATTCTCTACAGGCCATAACCAGCCTCTGCAATGCCCCTGAACACACAGAGCCCAACTCTCTTGTGCAAATATTGACCATAGCCATTCCCAAGAGCCAGGGAAGCGGCTCCCAGCTCTGTGTGCAGGAGCTGATGGAGTCTAGCCAGGCACCAGCTGGACCCATACGCTTGCAGCAGCCCTGGCCAGAGCTGGGCAACTGGTCATCAGCCCTTCCCAGTGCCACGGAGCCACATAAAAGCATCCCAAAGTGTAATTGAGGGGTTGCAAATGGTTAACTGCTGCGGCTGAAAGCCAACAGGTCAGTGCAGAGCTAGGGGCTGGCTGGCTCCCTTCTCTCTTTCATTATGTTTAATGTCCTTTGCTCTGTTTCTGACTGCTGTTTCCCAGCCTTGAAATAGAACCTGTATTGATCAGGAAGGCTGAGCATTTCCAGACCTCTATTAATGGACTGGAAAACCCACCTGTGCTTGTCGCTGGGGCCTGTGCCTGCCCTGCTTGGCAGGATGAGGCCTTTGAAGCCCCCTGGGATGGGCTTTGGGGGTCTGCCTCTGAACACGCTGTCTCTCAGGCGGTGATGCCTGGCTGCACGGGCACCACTGATTCACCCGTATGGTGGGTTTTCTCCCTTAATCCCTCTCTGCGTGATGCTCCGCTGCTGCCCACATACACATGGAAACTTTCTCTGGACTCTGCTTTCCAATTTTGGCCATGGAGAAGTGACCTTTTGCTTTCTGCCTTGACAACATCACCGTCACCATGGGAGCAGCTGGGCCACCAGGCCTTCAGCATCTGCGACTTGGTTGCACACCAAAACCTTTGATCTCTCAGACAAATATCCCAGACAAGGACATGACAAGAATCTGGGGTCACCGGCTGGATGCTCATGGTTGGTCCAGCACCGCTCCGCATCCAGCCCCCATCTGCAAGGCAGAAGAGAGGGATCTGCATCCGCACCCCCAGGTCCTCGTGGCGCGGCTGAGCTGCGGCGCAGGCAGGTCTCTGAGACTGCACTGTCCTGCGAAGGGCAGCAGCACTCGGCTGCTTTCCAGAGATAAAGCTGCACCTGCACAAAGGGCAAAGGCTTTGCTGCCAGCAGCACCGGCTCAAGGGCAGCAGAGGCTGCTGTATCCCTGAGAAACAGCCCCAGAGCTTGGATGCTGCAGGCCCGTGTCCAGCGCGGCAGCTTATGCTATAGGGGAAAAATGGTATTTAAACTGAAGGTGCTGGGTTTGGTCTTTCCTGGCCTGCGGCAGTTTGTGCTGCTTCAGCAAAGAAGAAGAGACAGGCCGGAGGGGCTCAGCACCCCGCTGGGCTGGGGTTTGCCTTGCAGGACCATCCTGGGTGCAGGCAAAGATCCCATTGACCTGGGAAAAGCCACTTCAGAAGACAGAGGAGATGCCTCTGCTGCTGCTTCATGATCAAGCACTTGGCAGCAGGGATGGGAACTGGCCCCAGTGGCCCTAAGCAGACAGCCAAGGGTGCCCCTCCTGCTTTTGGGGTTGAAAGCAGTGGGAAGAAGGCAATGGAACATGCCATGGGCACATCTTGAGGACCTACATGGAACCCTGCCCTGTCCCCGC